TCACAGTCCTTCTGGAGATTCCCTGAGACCAAGCTGAGCTCCTCACAGTCCCCTTGAATCTTCCTGACCTGGTCCTCCATGTCCTCCATGTGCTGCAGGAGCTGCTGGTCCTGCTCCAGGGAGGAAGAAAAGATGATGCTTAGCAAGGGGAGTCTGGTTCCACGAGTCCTCAGTGTCAAGAGGACATTTGCACCAAGGCTTTAATTTCCTTCCATGCTGCTGTCTGGTCCAAGCCAGTCTGGGGGCAATGAGGGGCTCCCCAACATTTTACAGCAAAGCACAGCCAGCCAGGGAATGCCACCAGCCCACTCCCAAGTCCCCCGTGGTGCCAATTCCCTACCTGGTTCCTTTGCTTTAGGATGTTCTCCACCTTGCTCACAGCTATCTGCCGGGACTCCAGGGAGTCCACCTCCTCCTCGAGTTTCTCACAGCGCTGGACGAGCTCCCCCAAAAGCACTCTGTAGTCGAAGGTGCAGTTGGAACACGCTGCCTTCTCCGTCTCCTCCTCCTGCTCCTCCTGCACGGTGCCCATTGCCTCCTCCAGCTCGCCCAGCTGCAGGAAGGGCAGAAGGAATCTGCTCAGAGATGGGATGGATGCAGCCAGCACACCTGGGTGCTGTGGGGCTCGATGGCCCCAGCCAGATGGGGAATGTGGCTGGAACCCTCTCAGGACCTCTCCACTGAGCTGGCAGGTGGTGGGAGTGCTCCCCCAGCACCTCACCTTCTCCTGCATCTGGTTGGTCGTCTCGGTCACCAGCTGCTCCAGCATGGCATTCCTCATCTCCTGCTGCTCCTCCATCTTCTTGAGTTCAGTCTTTGTCTCTTGCAGCACAGACCTGGCCAGCGAGATGGGGGCAGGGGCTGGCTTAGTCTCCCCAGCGCTGCTTGGGCAATGTCCCTTAGCCCCAAACCAGGATGCTCCCAGGCCCCCTGGGCTTCCTTGCAGCCCTACAGAGCACAAAACTCTCTTCTGTCCTCTTACTCCAGTTGTTGAGTGATCTGCTCATTGGTCTCTTCTTTCCACTTGACCATATCCGCCCTCAGCTTTCTGATGTCATCCTCCATCTTCTTCATCTGGGAAGGGCAGTGGTGGCAGACTCAGGGCACAGATCTTGTGTTGTCCCAGCACGAGGGCCCTTCAGCTGCAAGGGCAGACCCAGGGCCCCACACCCTGTCCCTGGGTCGACCCCAAATCCCCAGCTCAGGGAGCCACACTCAAATATCCCACAAGAGCCCGAGGGTGACACCAGCCAGCAGCTCACCGATAAAAGCATCTCTCTCATCTTCTCTGTCATGTTGGACTGTGTTGTCTTAATCATGCCAATCTCCTCGCGAAGATCCTGGCAGTCAGCCATGGCCTAGGAGAGAGGGGTGGTGGGGGTCAGTCCCAGTGGAGGGTCCCTGGGGACCTGCAGGACCTTCCCCCTGCCGTGGTGTGCCCAGCACAGGGGACAGTGCAGGTCAGGCTCAGCCAGGCTGGCAGGGCACTGCGGGCAGCACTCTCCATGCATCCAGCAGGGCCAGGGCTGCTGAGCCTGCAGCCGGCACAGCCGAGGCCACTGGCTGCTGCCTCAGAGCCACAAGTGTCTGACAGCAGCAGTTCACCTGGTCAAACTCCTGCTGGATCTTCTGGACCTCCTGGACCTCCTGGACCTTCTGGACCTCCTGGACCTCCTGGACCTTCATGTCCTCTGCTCTGTGAGGCTGTAGGAGAAAGGGGTGTCAGAGATGAGCCTCTGGTTAGTGTCCCTGAGGAACACGACCTTCACCCCCACTGTGATCTCCACAAACCTGCGCTTCCTGGATCCTTGACCCATCTTTGGCCTCATCACTCTCCTTGTGTAGAGCCTGAGAGACAGTCTAGGAAAAAGGGTTCTCGGGGGTGAGTCCCCCGAGACCCCCAGCCCTGCCCTGGGGAGCCCATGGCACAGGCAGGGTCAGCAGGGAGAGCCCCAGTGCCGCCTGCCCGAGCCAGGCTCTGTGCCAGAGCACTGAAGCCCATCCCAAGGGCCAGGAAGCGCTGCCAGCGGCCCAAGCGCTGCCTGGGCAGCGAGGGCAGAGTCAAGCACTGCTGAGG